CCCGCACACCCTGAGGACACGTCCCTTCTGCGCATGGCTCCCTGCACTCCCGCGTCCACAGGGCCCATTCCCGCGGCCGCGTGGGCAAGGGCTTGCTGGCCGAGGGCCACTCGTGCCTGGACACTCTATTTGTCCCCGCGACCTCCTGTCCAGAGGCGCCCGGCCTCCCTGCCGCCCTCCCTCCCTGCCGTGGGGAAGGCAGCTGCTGTGAGTGTGTGACCCTGTCTCACTCAGGTCGCTGTGTGATCTGTTCCACTGGCTGAGGCCGCGGTTCTCCCAGTGGCCTCCGCTCCGTGGCCTCGCCAGCACCGGGTTCCACCAACCCATGAAGACATTTGTTCACAGAAAGCAAACTCATGCCTAGCATTTATTGAGCACCGACTGTGTACCCGGCATCTGAGCCGTGTGCACACATCTAGTCACCCAGGAGGTGAACGCTGTTATCATTTCCTGTCTTTCCTATAGCAGCGTGGGCTCAGCAAGGGAAAGCAACCTGCCCAGGGCCACACAGCCCTCCAGCCGGGACTCCACACCCTCACTGTCCTGGGCACCACCCGGCCCGGCCTCTGGGAAGAGAGGGAAAGGCTACTGAGTTTCTGACCTGCCTCATCTCCTCTCCCTTCCGGGCCCCACTAGCTCCCTGGACGCTCCCTGGTCCTTGTGGACCCAAGCCGGGTCAGGATGGGCCTGCCAGGGCGGGGGTCACTCGACACACGTCACCGGGCTCCCCCTTGGCAACCCCGACGGTGGCTGTGGGGGCCCAGGTGCACGTCAGCCTGCAGGGGGGCGGGGTGCGCAGCCTGGTGCAGGGGTGGGCCACCATAAGGGACGGTGCAGGGACCAGAGGTGACCCCAGCTCCTGGCTGGGTTTTGGAGTCAGAGGTCCCGGTTCCAATCCAGCTGTCGGGGTGGGCTGAGGAGGAGGGCAGGGCGGGGGGGGCAGGAAGAACGAGGGCTTCCTCCCCCAGGGCAGGCGCTGCCCCTTCTCACTATGAACTTGTGCCTCCGTTTCTCTCTCTTTCTTCTCTCCCCACCCCGTATTCTGGGCATGGATCCCAGGGCGGTGCTCTACTGAGTCACACCCAGCCCTGCGTCACACTCTTTAAAGGATGTCATCGCCTCCCTGAGTGTGGAGTGAAGGATTGAGGAGGAGACAGGGTTCAAGTGCAGTTCCACCTGTGCTGTGTGTCCTTGGGCAGGACGCTTCACCTCTCTGAG